GGTCTAACCGGAACCTGAAGAGAATTCTCAGAGCACGAAACCCTAGCTCATGATAAATCTATAAATATATGTTGATTTGGCATATTAGAAAATATTTTTTTGTAAACCCCGATTTCTTGCTCTGATCATGTTTGTCGGGACAGATAGAAGTTCAGCACGGATGGATCAGGATCCCAAGAGGGTGACCTTTTTGACACAATCCAACAGTCTATCCCAAAGCAATCCTCCTTCGGGTTCCGACTAGGGCAATTCACGACTCACTTTCAATCAAATTTTCCCCAAAATGAAAAATTGAGTCAAATCACATTATAAAGGGATTCTTCGTTGCCCCGACACTGTTCATATACGAATTGCTTTTACCTTGTTTCATTCGTATTCGAAAATCCAGATTAAAGTTAAATGAATATTTATGATTCACATGATGTCAGTCAAGTGACGCAAAGGATATGATTAAGAAACTGAATTTTCCTAACTTTTAATGCTCAAAAAGTTTTCCTCTCGAAGGTTGGCCCAATCAGAATCCCAACTGTGATTGGAAAATATGGTATTCTTGTAATATCGCAACATTTGCATCACAACGCGAATGCCTACTGCTGGTTATATGGAATGTAACCTTAAAAAAACTTACAATTATTTGGATATTTTCGTCGTTCCAGCAGTAGCATGGACATGCTTGATCGTATTACGAGTTTGTTGAGTTGGTCAATCTGTTGTGGAAGCGTCGGATAGATCGGCTGGTTTCCTTTGCTCTGAAATCGTTCATATTGGCAAAGTCCACAGGATATTTCTTTTAGGTCTTGGTTGAAATGGGCAGAAATTGTGTCTGTCATGCCACTTACTATGAGTATCAAAACGGCAGGCCGGCAATAGATCAAGAAAGCTGACTGTCTCTTGTTCACATGCCAAAATTTACTAATAAACACGCAAAAAATAAGGTACAGAAAGAGTTGGTCACTTCCTGTTGAGGTCAATCTATCTACTTGTATATTTGCCTCTGTAGGGGCATCTGTACGTATGTACGTGTGCACGTGTATAGGCTAGTTTTCATGATTTACTTGTATACTCTTACACGAACGTCATTATAACACCAGAAGACACTGCCAGTTTCGCACAAAATGAGGGTCATTACCTCAATGTTGTCTCAGGAGATTCACCAAACGCCATTTAAAATTAATTTATCCTTCAGGATTCTGCATGTTTTGCCGCGTTAATCGCCTACATTGAAAAGGCTTTGTCTTTTCGCGGTTTTCAATTCAATTGGGGCATTTACAAGGACTGGAAAGGTCGACATTTTCTTTCATCCTGAACAAGACATGCCTTAGGGGTTCGACCAATTATGGAAGTCTTTTGTAAAGTCCTCATAAGCCTTGGAAACCAAAAGTGGGATTCAGCCACCGAACGCCTTTAGATTATCTCCGTTGTAAGTAAGTCTGGTAGGCAGATGCGATGAGTCGTGTCCTACCGAATCTTTGATTTTATGTGGAGAATGAAGATCTTATATTGTCAATGTATTGTAAGACAACATTGCTATGACGAGGAAGACAGTGAGGCACTTGACGCTCAAAATTAGTTGACGCACAAGGTCCCCAGCAAAAACTAAACCCTCGACATCCTCAATTCATTCTTTAGACTTACTCAACATCCCCTTGTATGATCCTACTGTTTTCTGCCATCACTGAAGTAGAGACTACTAAGTATTCGATGTAGTAGTGTTCAGGAAACACTTGATGCTTCTATCCAGGTACCAACTGATCATTACATCATATTGGCCAGACAATATTGGTGCAGACCAACCGCATAATTCGTGAGATTCCACCATGACAACCGGCAGCAAACTCAACACCCAGATGCCCAATATCACTGCGGATTCAATTTGTCAATGTGCATCATTGAATAGCTTCCAGTGGCGATTTATTTATAAATAATAAAAATATTATTTTCCTGAATTCTCGTATTTTCTAAAGTAATAATATTGCACTATTAAGGGGAGTTGAGAATTTATCGAATCTAGGCTTAAAGCCGAAAAACAAGTATTGATGTGTCCTGAAATTCTTATTTCTTTTTCAATCTGACTATGCATGCACACAACTTTTCTTTCACTGAATTATTTTAAGGCCCTAAGGCCACTATACTGAAACGTATCACCGTGTTTTTTACAGTGGCAGACAGACAAACCGGTAAGCACTCACGTTCTTGGTTTTGGATGCACCTTTACCCCTTGTTTTCTCACGTGTGTCTCCTCCCGCTTCCTTCCGTCGTACATTCCCTCAACACTTACATGTCGGATCGTTTGTCGGCTTGAAATTTGTGTGAATGGTTAAGTAGTTATCTAAACAAATGAGGGTGAAGAGACAATTCTAAAGAGAAGGCTTGCATGAAAAGTTGTGATATGACTTTTTATCTCGCAGGAATTCGTGAATTGGTCTGACCGAAAACCTCGCCTCATCGTTATGCGATTGTGAAGAACCCGTGCCAACTCCATCATATGACAGGCATCGTATAAGGTGGAAACCATAGTCTACCAAAAACGTCCCAAATGCAATTAACTAAGAAATAAGGCTGAACTGGTTCAAGAACTGAGTCAGATTGCACATTGACCCCTCTTATTTCTTGAATTATTGTACTTCATGTGTTTTTTCGTAAATTATGATTTTTGCTCTGGCGATGTCTGTCACTATAGGACAGACGACAACTTGGCAAGGGTTCATCGGGATGACAGGACGGTGAGTTTAGGAAGTCTTTTTTGCACAATCCAACAGTCTTTACTCCTCCTTCGGATTCCGGTATGATTAATTCACGAATTCCTCCTAACCAATATTGCCTTTGAAGTAAAAAGTTTAGTTAAAAAAATAAATAATATGAGGATTTTTAAAAATCCAGTTTTTCTTTATGTGTTGCCTAAAATTTGTCCGCCATTTGCCGGTCTCGGGAATGGTTGGACGCCGACTTGTCAGCTGTTGAGCTTACTCCATTTCGGGTGACAATGTGTGATGATAAAGAGATTCTAGCCTCGATCCCACCAGCCTGAGACAAAATCTTCCAATAAAGCCAAGAGGAATTTGCCGTAGACTTTTGGTGTGATCAACCTTCGAAACTCTTCAGCATCACACGCTTAAACTTGAAATGCACTACGACCAGAAGCTCGTTCTGGCCTCGTTTCCATGAGGTCTAACGAGCACTTTTTTATGAAATGCGTGAGGATGCGCTAGTGGACGAGTTGAGTTTGTATCCAAACCTGTTTTACATTGTTAGCTAAACGGTTATGCATGCTTTTTGGTACCACGGCCCATGAACTACTCGAATCGTATTTCGACCCTAGCAACCTAGTTCCTGTGGTGTTTGTTGTCAAGGCTTAAGGTTGTATTATTCCTATGGGTTTCGCGAAAAGAGTGGAATCGGCAATTTGATACAACCAAAAGGGCGAGTTTCTCGCTCATTCCCGAAGTCCAGATCCATACATTCCTGTTGAGGAATGGTCTCTGAGCGTTGAGCGATCCTGAAATGCTCTGTCGGGAAGGGTTGTCTGTCTGGCGACAAGTGAGTGGGTGAGTGAATGGGTGAGCTGGACACTCGAGCTAAACAAGGTACGATGTGCAACCAGTGCACATTTGTCTTTCATTCGTTTTTCCATGCCCTAATTAGGATGGTTCATTGCCTCGGTTACATCTGCATAAATTGTGCCTGTACACGGCTACAGTCGTGTCGGCATGCCAGGCTCACATGTCCTTATCCGCCGCGGGGTCAGCCTTGCCTGCTTCATCGGGCCGAGTTATGCGAATAAATTAGCGCTGTATCATGTGTACTGTGTGTTGAGGCGTTTTCACACGGCGTCGGTCGACTCGAGGTCCAGTCTGAAGGGACATTCGGCGACTGACATTTGTCTAACCGATCTTTGTCGCCATAGAACGCGCAAGGTGGGCTTCGTACAGCTTTGGTCCGCTGCCACTGCTCGTCTCGAAATCCTACTCAGCTCAAGGATAGATGTGATGCAAGGCCGAAGAGTGCAGTTTTGCCCACAATTCTATGAATAAACCTCCCGATGCCATTGCATTTCACTGAGCCTGACCTCCAGAAAGGCTTTCTCATCTGGGCTGGATTGCAGTTGCCGCCTCGTCCGAGGCTCATTTACATCCTCGACGGGATTCGAACCCGGCGGAAGAGTAGGCAGTGGAGGCCAGTAATCCAATAAGCAAATATGCCTGACAATCAAGGCAAGCCAGGCGGCTGCAAGTTCACATTTATTGCGGAATTGACAGTCGCTGAGCCGATTTTGCTCGCCCGACGAGGCCGGAACTGTCCACGAAAAGCGGTACATTTTGTCGCATCTATTGGTCGCCACAACAACGACATTTTGCTCGCATGCGCAAAAAAGGAGCAACACGACAGAGAAACAATCATGAGTAAAAACTTGATCATTCCAAATCGTTAAGCGTGCTTCAGGCACTGCCATTCCTGAAAAGTATATTTCCAAGACTACCAGTAATCCTTGTATATAAATTTAGTAACTCCACATCGCTGATGTTGATTTGTGGACTGATTCCTGGAGTAGGTATGAGCCGAACTAGTTGTATTGGCTTTATTAAAATGTAAATAAGATTATTTTCACCCGATCCGAAGGAGGCTGGTTTTAACGACTTATGTAGTCCCAGTGTCATAGTGAATTCAGATGACGGTAGACTGAAATAAACGTAACGGAGTCTTTGAGTCAGTTCGAAATATGTATTTCTTTATCCTAGTGATGGAAAAGTTCCGATCAGAAATGTGGTTTGATAGCCTTTTTGGCCTTTTAGGCTCTGTGCCTCACCCCAATGGTGCCGCTGGTGAAAATAGCACTTCAGTACAGAATAGAATAGTGATTTTAGGAAGTCAATCAGGATCCCGATTCATTAAGTAAGACGCTTTTTACCCAATCTGGTGGCATCACACGAAACTTGTACATCTTTACAAAAATATAATTATCCACATCAAACTATCGAATATTATGAAGGAAGGTATCCTGTCATTTTTGCTCATTTTGAAACTCTCTCCATTCTCATCAAACCACTCACCTTTCTTCAATGAGGAATTTTAGTTTTACGTTATAGGTTGTATTCTATGGAGGGACGCATTTTGAGGAAAGACAGCAAATCCCACATCTTCAAGTAACTACAAGACGAGGCGAATCATCCTCTGTGCCCTCAAAGGGATAGAAAACCGATTCGTACGTATAAATTAGACATTTATTTACACTTCGCTGCACAACAACGAGCGTCAGTGGGCCAAAGGGAATATATAGCCTTTAAGACTTATTCCAAATCACATTTTACTGGATGTGATGATGAGACAAACATTTATTTGTCATTACAATCGATGACGTTACTTATATACTATGCGAGTAGTTCTCGCGTCTATAAGTAAATCTAGAATAAAAATCCAGTCAACCTAAACAATTTAAGGTGACTTGAGGACTAATATTGGAACTTCCCACAATAAAACAATTATGCCTTATGATGTCATGCGAATAAACTTCGGGTTTCGATGAATTTTCTGAGATATAATTGTTGTGGAAACTTTCATTTCGTAGGAAGATGCATGATGAATAGATTCGTAGGTCGATCTCACCAGAAGACGAGGGTTAATTTTCGTTAAACCACAGCCATTTTAATACAAACTTCAGGCTGATGCAGTCCACGAGACATCCTCCTTCATTTCGGGCGAAAGTGAGCTGACTTCGTCATATGACGAACCTACTCAGAGCTGGGACGCATTCTTGTTAAGTTATCATGTTAGCATTAAGTCAAGAGGACTGACCGACTCTTTCCTTCTTGATATATATTCTCATAATTAGCAAACTATTCTTAAAAAATATGGATGGATACGAAAATTTTTCTCTAATTTTCTTATACTCGAGTGTGTGTCTGTGTCAATGCACATAATAGACAGACTCGAGCATAAGAAAATGAACCAAACTTTTTCATATCTATCACCTATACTTTTTTAAATAGTTTGTTAGTCATGAGTATATTTGTCAAGAAGGAAAGAGATTCGTAGGTCGGTTCCACCAGAAGACGACGGCGGATTCCTCTTGACCAGCTGTCGATTGGTTTTACTGGAACATTCATGCTGACGCTGTTTGCGAGGCAGCCTCCTTCGATTCCGGTGAAAAGGTGCTAAGCTTTCGTCTGTCATATGACGAACATCATCAGAGCGTCGTCTTCTGGTGGAACAGACCTTTGAAGCTCTTCATCAAAAGCTTTCACTCGAAATGGAAGTAAGCTCAACAGTTATGAAACAAGAGCTTCCTCGGAACCGAACTTTTCTTTGCATATATCAAGAAGGAAAGAGCCGGTCAGTTCTCTTGACTTAATGTTAACATGAGAACTTGACAAGTCCACGAGGATGTCTCGTGGACTGCATCAGCCTCAAGGTTGCATTAAAATGGCTGTGGTACAACGAAAATTAGCCGTCGTCTTTTGGTGAGTCCGACCTATGAGCTGTTTGGGTTGACTGGAATTTTATTCTAGAATTACTTATAGACGTGAGGACTACTCATGTAGTATATTAGTAACATCATCTATTGTAATGACAAATAAATGTTTTCCTCAACGTCAGGTCCATTAAAATGTGATTTAAAATATGCTTATTCATGATTTACTGATATTCTCATAACAAACTAGTGTCGAATTTAGATTTATATACATTTGCGAATTTATGGTCTCGATAACCAGTGCGTAAGTATCACGTTTGTTTGCTCTCTTCACGTCACTTAGTCCTGTTGTTAGGGCGTGGAAGAAGAGCTAAAGATGCATGGCCGGGAGATGGGACGGGCCTCTTTGATAACACGTAGCTGGCAGCTTTGCTAACAAGGCCGAAGAAGCATCTGTGTGTGTTTCAAGTAACAAAATTACTGTATTTTAGCTATGAAGACCAAGATGGTCTCCATTAACTTTATAGAGTTGGTACGACCTTGTTTTGGCAACTTGGTCGGAGCGTCAGGGAGACTTTGTGGAGCGTACCTAGTCCCGTGTCCTCTGCCAGAGTATTCGGGATTCCCAACATTGGAATCCTACTTGTAGCGACACACTTTCAGGCGACATTGTAGGAAACGCGAGCACCGAATTGTGTGAATAAGTAGATTGAGTGGCGAGGAGTGATGCCACAACGGTTGAACAGAAAATTGATCAAAGGGATCACCTTCACCGGTCACTTTGATAAGTTCTAACTCTGTGCTGAGGATGGCAGCTCTCACTGACGATGCCGGCGAGATGTTTGCGAATGTATCAAGTCAATGGTCCAATGCTGAAAAGCAGAAACAAGGTCGAACCCATACTGTAAAACACTGCATTCTTGCCTAGAATTGACTAGAATAGTTTACCTGCATCGGCTAGAATTTCTTTTTGCTACCAGCCCCGATTAATCGAGGTGAAGTGAACTTTACCTCTTGGAATGCCTCTTGGAATGCCTCTTTGAATGCCATGTCACTGTGGGAGTCCAGCCTTCTCTTCCTCATGCTCGCGGGGGGACTCGAAGGCCGTCCAACAGGAAACAACTCGATAAAGACCACTTGGAGCTTGCTCATGATGATTGGGATCTTTTGATTTTGTGGCATTATGTGGTTTTCGAGTGAGAACTGCTGCCTACTTGCTTTCGTTCGAGTAGTCTGTAATTCAATTTGCGTTTTTATTCAATACCTTTGCAAGCAATTCAACAGGGATTACCTCTTATCGTGCCTGTACCGTCTGCTCCGAAAGTACAGAGCACCACTTCTCTTTCGTGCATTCGCGCTTTCGCAGTTTATTTGAATCGAGATGACTCAACTCCAAACCCCGGTTTTCACTTTTTCGCACCATCCCCAACCACACCCGCGCTATTTGCTCAAGAGCACTCGGATGCGTTTTGGTCTGCCCTGACGAACAAACTCATAAAGAGACAAAAGTGACAAGGAATAGGCATCAATAAACCCCACGACACGCCCAAATGCGTCGTCATTTATACGTGACTGGGGAAAACGCCCATTTCGTCATTGGTTGTCGCTTTGCCCTAAAATCAATAGTTTACTGGTACATATACATTGGCATATACATTTGCCGGTTTATCCTTCGGCCGTCAGGGTAGCTAGTGGAAGCTATGATGAAAATCTGGCTTTCCAAAGCGCCCTCGTCCCGCCTTGGAAGAGACGAATGGGGTGATTCGTAAATCGGCCCCAACGGAAGACGAAGATGGGCCAGTTGTAGTTGTAGATTTGTTTGAATGTCCCCTCAACAACACCGTCACACAAACTCAATCTATGAAAATGAACAAAAATCTGCGAAAACGTATCCTTTAGCAAAGTGGGTTTCACCCCGTTGTCGCAACTTGGTCTCGTTGTCAAGCCGACTTAGTAGCACGCACACAGTCCAAAGTCGTCTGCCATAGTAGTTGTCATGACTCCCAGCATCAGACAGTGGACTTGATACATTCTCAAACGTTGCGCCGGCATCGTAGTCAGCATCCTCAGTGAGTTTTGCCATTCTCCGCACCAAACTACGAATTCGTCAAAGAGACAAACGTTCTGCCGAAAACGGTCGCACTATCACTCCTCTTTCTGTCATTGTCTATCTATCCACTCTTTACCCTCTTGTCCCACTGCCGCCCTATCACAACTGCTCACTTGTTTACAGTCCACTCGGAAAAATGTGTGCTCTTTTGTGGCAGGGGCATACCATACCAGAGGCCACAACATCTTGGTCTTCATAGCTTCAATTTTCCTATAGCTTTTAGTGACTTTTCGTAATGCAGGATATCCTGTTGTGATGGAGGGACAGAGGAAAGCTGAGAGCGAATGGATCGGGGCTACGGAACGCTGTATCAAGGACTTATTCACATAAATCTACAGTCACAAATGGCCGCGAGGCAGCCATAATTTGTGGATCTCAATGAGGTGTTGAACGATTAGATGGTTCACTGAATTCTTGCCATTTCCATGCCTAAATGACATGTCTTTTGATCCCGAAGTGGAGTCGCATATTCCGATCCATGTACAATGTTTATCAGTTCAACTAGAAGTTAGTGTCCTACACCGAATCTTCACTACTCAAAAGGGCTCGATAGCCTCCATCCTCCTCTTCCCACTTTCACACAATAGCCAGAGATGGCTTTTTCTATTCACACTTTTGCCTGCTCTCTCATTCTTTTGGTGTCACCTCAGCTTCTGCCAGGCAAACGGGAGATTTAGGCCACCATCCATTTGCAGTGTATGCGGAGAGTTCAGATTTCTGGAAAAATTGACCTTTTAGGGTTGTTTTGCGTTCGAATAACCACCCTCAAGCAGATGCTACCAGATGAGCACAAAACCACATGACAACCCGAGCTAAGGGGAAAAAGACATAACCCAGGAAAGTGTCAAAATCTCACCATAGTTGAATTCAATCCACCACTTCCTCTGTAGATCGCCTATAGTTTTTTTTGAAA